GGTGGGTCTCGACCCTGCGGGCTCAGGCAATCCACTCACCTCAGCCTCCCAAAGGCATGGGATTACAGGCTGAGCCACCGAGCCCGGCTCTACCGCATTCTTTCGATCTCAAATATTGTTACTTCCATGAAGCCCTACCCCTCACTTCATAAGCTTATACCATTCATCAGTCCCTTTTCTTTTCTTTTCTTAAGTTATAGTCTTACTCTGTCGCCCAGACTGGAGTGCAATGGCACAATTATGGTTCATCGCAGCCTCAACCTACTGGGCTCGGGTGATCCTTCCACCCCAGCCTTCTGAGTAGCTGGGACTACAGGCACATGCCACCACACCCAGCTAATTTCTTGATGTTTTTTGTAGGGATGAAGTCTTGCTATGCTGCTCAGGCTGGTCTTGAACTCCTGGGCTCAAGCAATCCTCCTTCCTCAACCTCCTAGAGTGCTGGGATTAGGATTACAGGCATGAGCAACCGTGCCTGGTCAAGCCAAAATTATGTAGGTGTCTGTGTTATTATTTGATTACTAGCTGTCTTCTCCCCAAGGTATGAGCCCTGTGAGTGAGTGCAGGGGCCAGGGCTGACTTGGTCACTGCTGTGCTATACTTTGTGCATGTGGCTGGGCAGTGGCTGGACATGGAGGAGGTCCTCAGTGTGTTTGTAAATAAAGAGCTAACATTCAAGCGCCCACTGTGTGCCACACTTTGTGCTAAATCCTTTACGTACACAATCCAGTTGACGCCCCTCGCTGGACTGTCAGCCTCATAGGGGCAGGGAGTTCCATCCGCCCTGCTCATTGCTGTGTTCCCAACACCTAGCACAGGGCCTGGCACACAGTAGGTGCTCAGTAAATATGTTTCGCATGAGTGAATTATCATAAATGAGGTGGGTATAAGTATCCTGGTTTACCAAGTAACAACAGCTCACCTACTAAGCACTCACCAGTACTAGTTACTGCTCAAAGTGCTTCATGTGGGATTTGCTCATTTATTCCTCACAACAGCCCTGGGAGGTACTGTTGTTAGCCCACTTTACAGATGAGAGGACTGACAGCAAGTACTCAGCAACACCTGGATGCAAACTAGGGCAAGTGTCTGGCTCTAGACTCAGGGTCTTAACCACAGCCCTAAACATCCCAGAGAGCTTCAGAGAGCAGAACTTGCCCAAGTTTCAGTGTTGTTTGAATCCAGGCAGGCCTGCCTCACCACCAAGGGTCTTATCACTCTGTTCCCAGTCCAAAGTGTAGTGGCATGATCACAGTTCACCACGGCCTCATCCTCCTGGGCTTAGGTGATCCTTCTGCCTTAGCCTCCCAAGTAGCTGGGACTACAGGTATGTGCCACCACACCTGGCTAATTATGTTTATTTTTTGTAGAGATGAGGCCTCGCTATGTTGCCCACACTGGTCTTGAACTCCTGGGCTCAAGCAATCCTCCCACCTTGGCCTCCCAAAGTGCTGAGACTGCAGGTGTTAGCCACTGCACTTGGCCTATCCAGGCTTCCAACTCCCAGGAAAGGTAGATTGGGGTGATAATTCTCTGCTGATTAATATTTCATCTTCCCCCACAGGCCTGGGCCCCTCACTGCTCTCTCTCTACCCGAATGAGGATACTGCCCAATCCAGGGGCCACTTCCAGCCAGCAACAGGCTTGGCCCAGGCCAACTGAGCCAGCCCACCTGTCTTCTCCCCCAGAAAGGACCTCAACCACACTCCAAGCCAGCAGCCAACGCACAGGACGGGGGCACCGGGAGAGTGCCCCCTGCCCACCTTGGGCCTACCTCACCCCTCACCCCTCTGCCTGCTCCCAGTCTGGGGGATCTTTGGGGTGGCCTCAGCTCAGTGACCTCTGGGGGCAGTCCCTGGCCCCCCCCTTCTCTCAGGACTTCCCTTGGGGTTCTCAATACTTGGTTACCTCATTATCCCTTACTCCGACTCTCTTGGCTTTATTTTGGGCAATTAGAAGTGGGGAGGACTGGGCGTCAGATCTGTGTTTCTGGGCTCTGGGGAGTATGGATAACTGTAATCACATTTCTTTCTATCTTTTATTATTATTTTTGTTTCTGTTAATTTCATGGTATGGTTTTTAATCACTATGACTTGCCCAGGGTCCATATGAATGTGGGACTCTGATCTTCCTCCACCTCTGGTATCAATGGGAGGAGGCCCTGCGACAGGCCTCACCACCAGTGACTTCTGATTGAGGCCTAAGCCTCCAAGCTGCCTCCCAGCTCTGCCTACCCCTTCCACTTTGGACTTCTCGCAACCCCCAGCTTCGCCTGGGCACTAACTTCATTTGTGGTCTTCCTACTTCTGGAGCAGCCTCTGACTTCCTCTGCTTCCAGACAACTGTCTCCACGCGTCTCTGGTCCCAGACCGTACAACCTCTGGCCTTCACTGGTCTAGACCATGCAACCTCCATCATGATCTAGTTTAGACCTCACATCCTCTGATTTCCTCTGATTCTGAATCTCACTATCTTCAGCTATTGCTAGTTCTAGACCTCACAACCTCCAATTCTACCTATTTTCAAACCTCAAGACCTCCAAAAATTGTCTGGCTCTGGGCCTTACAACTTCTAGCTCCTTCTGGGCTCTAGAGTCTACAACCACCAGATTTGATTCTAGAACTCATTCTCTAACTTCCTCTGATTCTAGACCTATGCCTAGAAATATATACTTCTTATTTTAGATCTCATACCCTCGAACTCCCTCTGGTTCCAGATTTTATATCTGACCATTTCCTTCTGGTTCTGGACCCCACAATTCCAAGCTTCCTTTTGGTTCTAGTGTTCCTGATCTATAATACATTTGGTTCTAAATCTAGACCTCCTCATGTCTAAATCATTTTGGTTCCAGACCTCATGAGGGTCAGCTCATTCCTCTTTAACTCTCTACACTCGAGACTTGTTTTCCCAATCAAAAAGAAGTACAGTGAGGTTTATGTCTTGATCTTATAACCTATTCTTCCAGAACCAGATACCATGCTCCAGTTCTTAGCTTCTGGACCCCATGACCTCCACCATTCTTTGGTTCTAAACTACACAACCTCCAGACCTCACGACTTCCAGGGTCCTCTGATCCCAGATCTGATGATCTGTTGTTTCTCTGGTTCTAGATCTGAGTTGCAAATGTCTTCTGATTCTAGACCTCATTCCATAAGTTCCCTTAGTCCCTCACAACTTCCAACTTCTCCTCACTCCAGATCTTATGACTCCAAATTACTAGAACTCAGCAAACAGATTCTGATTTTAGACCTTGCCTTGTATATTTTTCTAGTTCTAGACTTTATAGCCCCCAACTACCCCCCCAACTACTTCTGATTCTAGATTTTATGGCTCCCCAATCCTTCTGGTTCTAGAACTCAGTGTTTAGCCTTTTTCTACTTCTAGTCCTTACTCTATAAGTTCCTCTGCCTCTAAGACTCACAGCTTCCAACTGTTGTTGTTGTTTTTTTTTTTGAGTCACGATCTCACTCTGTTGCCCAGGCTGCAGTGCAGTGGCAGGATTATGGCTCACTTTAGCCTCAAATTTTGGGGCTCAAACAATCCTCCCACCTCAGCCTTCCAAATAGCTGGAATTACAGGCATTTGCCACCCTTGTTCAGCATTTTTTTTTTTTTTGCTTGTTTTTGTAGAGATGAGGTCTCACTACATTGCCCTGGCTGGTCTCAAATGCCTGGGCTCAAGCAATCCTCCTGCCTCAGCCTCCCAGAATGCTGGGATTACAGGTGTGAGCAATTGTACCCAGGAGACAATTGCCTTTGATTCAGGCCCAAATTCCCCTGGTTCTAGAACTCAGCCGCCAATGGACTATATGGATGCTACCCTATAGATTCCTCTGATTCCAAATCTTATAATCCTGACTCCCAGATTCCTGGCCCCACCCTTCTAACTTTATTCTGGGCTTCCCACCCCACTGAACTTGCCCCAATTCCTATCCTCAGTCTTAAGTCTTCCCGTTCCAGACTTCTACCCTCCAGGCCCTGCTGTTCCTGGACTTCGTGCTCAAGCCTCTCCAATCTCCTATCACTTTCTCTATCCTAGAAGTCCCTCCCCTCCCCTCCTCACCCCAGCCTTCTAGACGTGCACATACCTTGACTTTAACCCAGACATTTGTGTCACCTGGGGCTCCCTCGCCCCCTTGGGAAGCTCACAATCCGGAGACGTCTCTAGCCGCACTGGCACACGCACAGCCCTATCTGTATATTGGGGGGTGGGAAGAGAAGCCTGGACCCCTCAGCTCTCTGCCATCACCTATGTGCCCCTTGCCCCTCAGCTTCCTTTCTTCAAATGGTGCTACTCTTGGTCTCCCACAGGAAAAGGCCTCCCCCACTCACCCCTCTTTTGGAAGACCCTGCCCACTCTGTTTTGTTGGGGGCTGGTACATCAATTGGTGCTATTGGGGGGTTTTCACCCCTTCTTCCCTCAGGAGGTGATGTGGACCCTCAGTGGAGGAAACTGGGGAGGGGCTGCACCAGCCACATTGGCTCTGAAACCCACTAATTGCTCTACCACCATAAAGATCTCACCTTGGTAGGCACCAGAGCACTGCGTGTTGACTCATCTTTGGGATGGCTTTCGGGGAATTGAGGGCACTGGGTGTCCATGCCACTTTCTGATTCTGTGTGTGTACGCCTCTGTTCCTGCATGGGTCTATGTGATGTGTATACCCAGTGATGATGTCATTCTGTGTATATGTGTGGATCTTTGTGACATAATTCTGTGAACCTATGTCGGGGAAGTGGTTACGATTTCTTCAGTGTGTGCTTGTATCTGGGTGAAATGATTCTGCCTTATGTGTCTTTCTGGTTACTTTGGGTTTCAGTGTACCCAAGTGTGAAAGGTGTGATTTTTTTTGTTATAACCATGTGTCTATGTAATGTGATTCTGCATACCTGTGTGGGCTGACACTATAATTCTGGGTACTAATGTGTGTCTGTGTGACTTGATTCTCTGTACTTAAGTGAGCTTATGTGTGCAAGAGAGACAACGTGGGTGTGTCTGTTCTGTCATGTCTCTGTACATCACCTTCATAACCCCTCTACAGAGTTCCTCATGGGAATCTTTTCTTTTTCTTTTTCTTTTTTTTTTTTGAGCTGGAGTCTCACTCTGTCACCCAGGCTGGAGTGCAGTGGCACACTCACAGCCACCACAGCCTCTATCTGCTGGGCTCAGGAGATCCTTCTGCCTCAGCCTTCCAAGTAGCTGGAACTACAGACATGCACCACCAAGCCCAACTAGTTTTTTTTATTTACTGTAGAGACGAGGTCTCACCATATTGTCTAGGCTAGTCTGGGACCCGTGGGCTCAGGCAGTCCTCTCACATTTGCCTCCCAAAGTGCTGGGATTTCAGGCACCTATGGTTCCAGCTACTTGGAAGGCTGAAATGGAAGGACCTCCTGAGCCCAGGAGGTCGAGGATGTGGTGGCCTTGAGCGTGCCACTGCACTCCAGCCTGGGTGACAGAGTGAGACTCTGACTCAGAACAAAACAAGAACACAGGAAGTACATGGGATAGACTCAAATTCTGGCTCTGGCACTTCCTTGTGGCATGCTGATCTCTGCAAATCTGTCCTCATCTGTACAATGGAGATGATAATATCTACCTTCTGAGGTGATTGTTGGCTGTGTTGAGGGGGCAGTGAGAGAGGCGAGGTTAGACCAGGACAACAGGTTTAGGGGTGAGACAGCTTGTGCTTCCAGGAGGGGAGCCAGAGTAGAACTTTGAAGGACTTTGTACTAGTTTGGCATGAGTAGAGGCCAAGGGCTCAAAAAGGACAGACTGGAAGGGTGTGTGTGGTGGCTGGGGAAGGGGTATGATCTGGAGGTGTTGCCTGAGGCTAGACTATTCCAGAATATGAGTTTTCCCTAAAGAGCACTGGGAACTATAGAAGGTTGGGGGCGGGAGTGTGCCATGGTCTTATTGGTGTCTTAGAAATATCCCTCTAGCTGCCTTGTAGAGGGTGAACTGGAGGGCAGAGGAGGCTAGAGGCAAGCAGTAGAGAAGGCCAATGCTGTGATCCCAGGCAAGAAGAAACAAACAGGAGAATCAATGTGAAGATTCGAGATTTGGGAAGCTGAACACACGGAAAAAGGAGATGGTGAGAAAAACTTCTGAGTCTGTGCAGGACTTGAAATCCAGTGTCTTCAATTAAAAACTTAGAAACACTGACTGAAAGTTCACAGCATAGAGTTAATATAACCAAAAAGCAGTCATTTTAACACTGCCCAGTTGTCACATTTTTCTAGCAGTTCACTTTAATTTACCCTCTAATTCACTAGCCAAGGACAGAACCAGTTTCTCAGAGACAGCTATTTTTGGTTTTGGGGGCGTTTTTTTGAGTAGGAGTCTCCCTGTCGCCCAGGCTGGAGTGCAGTGGGACGATCATGGCCACCGCAGCCTCCACCTGCTGGTCAGGGGATCCTTCTGCCTCAGCCTTCCAAGTAGCTGGATCCACAGGTGCGTGTCGCCATACCCAGCTAATTTTTTTATTTATTGTAAAGACGAGGTCTCATCAAAATGCCCAGGCTGGTGTTGAACTCCTGGACTCAGGCAATCTTCTCGCCTCCGCCTCCCAAAGTGCCGGGATTACAGGTGTGAGCCACCACACCCAGCCTTCTCTAATTTACTTTCTAAATAAACCATATCTTCCATTCCAGCTTCTGTGCAATTCTTGGCATTTTTCACACAGCACCAGAAGGCACACCCACACCCATCCCAACCCTCCTTGGGCCTGACCTAACATCTGGAGGCCCCGCTGGGATGTATTTTTAACCTAACACTGACCCTCAAGGTTGGAAATTCATTTTGTTTGAGAAACCACCCATTTCCCAAGAAGGGGTAACTGAGGCCCTAGAAGTGAAGATTTGTTCAAGGTTTCACAGGTAATTAGCAGTAGCACAGGGCGCATGGCTCACACCA